TTTCTTTGATACAAATTAACGAAAAATATTACTTCATTTCCGAATCCCTAAATTAGCGTGTTCTGTGCATTCTGCAACATATCTCTGTCTGTTGTTATTTTAATAGTAAATTCTTTAAAGGATGCTACACCGCAAGAGAAACCATTCATGACAAATTCTATTTTATCTACGTAAGCAATTTAAAATATAGAAAATATAAGTTCAAATAAACCTAAAGTAAACCATAAACCAAATACTGAAAGAAAGAAAAAATCATGATATCAAAAGCGCAAACAAATTACTGTAAGGATTACTTCCCCATTTTGCAATCCTATGTAATTCTGCCGTAATTTATTTGCATTTTTTTTATTATGAAAAAAAAAATTCTTCAGTTTTTTAAACTTTATTGTTTACTTCTTCCTAGGTTTACCTGTAATCACTTTTCTTTTATAATTTAAATATTAAATTACTTCATGTGGATGAAACAGAATTTTGCCATGAAAAGTTGCTTACGATATAGCGATATAAGGATACACATTTTACCGAGTTATATGAAAGAAAGTAACAATATTAATATTTTTGTACGATTTATATCTTAAATATCGTAGTAAAAACAAGTAAATCAGTTACAAAGCTTATCGACGAGGTTTTTTGTATTGCCGAAGCATTTGGCCCTATGCACTGTAATTTAAAAGGGTAGCCACTTTCTCTAGAAACTGAGAAGAACTGAAATTCTTGACGGGATTGTGTTTTTTTTTAAATTTTTTTTTTAATTTTATAATTGAATAAAACGAATTTTTAAAAATATTTCTTAAATGTTCCAAACAGGCAGAAAAAACTATGAAAACTTGATCATCAAAGCCGTCGTAAGGATCGGGCTAATGTTTTTCAGTTATGCTTTTTAAAAATAATCCTTTCAATTTGTGTAGAAATGTAGGTAAATTTTTAGAATTATTTTTAGTACTGTAAATTCAATAAAATGCGTTTTCTATTTTTTAGAGCATTAAGATTAGCACTCTAGCATAGCTCTTTAATTTAGAGGTCTTCGTAATTTTAGCGATCTCGCATAGATAACCATTCATGCTATCAAAACTAACCATTCATAAGGTCAAAACATTAGAATTATAAAATAAAATGTGTATAAACATTTCAAGTTGACTATTTATGTAGAACCTTGTTACAAAAAGTTTCCAATCTCTTCTTCGTGAGTCTTAAGCCTGATAAATCTTTAACAAAACTTAAGCGAAAGTATAAATTTAAAAATCAAATAATGAAAAGAAATCTTAAATTATTATTTTTTTTCTTTTCTTGAGAATGAAATTTAGAAAAAAAATCCTAAAGAAATAAACTATATGATTTATTGAATAATTTATGCTGAAATAAAACGGTAAGCAAATGGCCCCTCAGAAGGAGTGCCCTGCAAGCTCATGTTCAATGCTGGTTTATTTTGCAAACGTCCTAATATTTGCACAACCTGCAACTCGCCGACTATTGATGTAAAATTCTAAACACTATGAATTTTTTTAAAAAAAAATAAAAAAAATTTTGAATCTCACATTTGAATCATCATTTTTTGATGCACTCAATTTGCCCAGATTCTATTGTAAATCTGTCATTCTTCAATCACTTTTTCAATGGTTATTGCTATAAAATTCCTCATGGGTTTTTTCAAAAAAATAAAATTTAATACGATATGCGAATTTCAAATTAGAGATCTCTTTTTGACTCGTTTTTTTTTTTTTTTTTTTTTTTTTTTTTTTTTTTTTTTTTTTTTTTTTTTTTTTTTT